AAAAAAAAAAAAAAAAAAAGGAAACAAACAAACAAACAAAACAAAAACAAAAACAAAATGTTCACAGGTAACTTCACTTGCCATCACCCAATACTCAGTTGATGTGAGTGAAGTTACATGCAAGGTTATGGGAGTCCTCCCTATATGGTAGACCAGTTAGCTTTCTGCAGGGGACTGATCCATTGCATGGTCTTAGGCATGTTTCTCTTCATGTTGTCAAGTAACAGAATGGTAAGAAAACCATCTGTAATGACTTAAAGCAAGGTAGATGGTGGAACACACAAACATCAGCATTAAATGTGATGCCTTTCATTGACTCTGGAAGCTTACCAGCATTTGCTGAATGTGCAGATGAAAATATAAGAAGATTTTGTTATTTTCTTTCTTTTTTTTTTTTTCTGAGACAGAGTTTTACTAGGTCATCCTCAGTAGAGTGCTGTGACAACACAGCTCACAGCAACCTCCAACTCCTGGGCTCAAGTGATTCTCTTGCCTCAGTCTCCCAAGTAGCTGGGACTATAGGTGCCCACCATGATACCCAGCTATTTTTTGTTGCAGTTGTCATTGTTTTAGCAGGCCCAGGGCAGGTTTGAACCCACCAGCCTCAGTGTATGTGGCTGGTGCCGTATCCACTATTAGGGGCACTGACTGGAGATTTTTATTATTTTCTTAAGGAAGCCCTTTATAAGCACAAAAATTAAATAATTGAAACCAAGGGAAATGTTTACTTTTCTCATCATTTGCAGCCTAAGCTTTTACAGTCTCCTCAGCAATTGTTTTCTTCTGACAATATCAGACATGTTTAAGCAGTATCTGCAACGGGGAAGACTCCGATCACTAGCTCCCTGTCTGGTCAAAGTCAGGACTGATCAGATGTGCTTTTGTGTTTTGAGTTTTCATCAACCAACAATAAACTTCCTCCTTTTGGATGTGGCCAAAGTACTCTGCTAGGAAAGAATCTAATCTGTGGTTTCCAAATTCCTTTGGGATCCTCAAGGTCAGAAGGAAACTATCTTAAGATTCTGAGGCTAAATTCAGTCTTTATTCTTCATTTGGAGTAATTTTCTCTTGCCCTGATTGTTCTTCAGTAGCCACGGATTTATGTAAGTGAGGAGAGAAGTAAAAAAGAATGACAGTGTTTAAAAATAAATTCTGTTTTTCATGAAATTAATCCCACTTTATGGTGTGTACTTTAGTGAGAATTCTTCTGGGTAACTTACCATTTGTCAAGCGATCAAACAAGAAAATGTCAAAATCCCACATTCCCACTTTGGAGAGCATATGCTGAAAAGACAAACAGAAAACAGCACTCAGATGAATCATTTCGGAGACTCAAACATTTACTTTGAGACACAGTGAATTAAACAATTTTATCTACTATCTATGTACCGTGGAACGGCTTCCCTGTGTTCTAAGATACAATCCAAATGCTTTGGCCTGACATACACAGACCTTCAGAGCATGGCAGAAAAGTGAAGGACTAATAAGTTATTTTCAAGGTCTAGATTGGGTGAGTTTTTTACCCAAATCAAATAATACTAGAGGCTAAAGCTTGACTTTTGATATCTAGACTTCCAGCCTACTGTTCTCTTAACATCTCAACAACACTGAAGATGTGGCTGCTGAGAAGAAAGACAATCTGTCAGTGACGTCCAGTGACCACTTCTCAACAAACAAACAAACAAATGAACAAACGTTCACCCAACTCAGCCCTTGCAGTTAGAAGTGATTTGCTTTTTCCCTTTTGTAGACCTGACATTGGGTGTTAGTTCTTCTGACGTTACTTGCCATTCATTTCTTACTGGCAGATGTTAGTAATATGTACTTCTTAATAAATTAAAATACTGCTTTTAACTATCTAAACCAGGGCAGTTGATTCCATTTAAAATGCCACTGGCAGTTTGGGTGAGAGATAATTGCAAACATTTAAAAATACTGTCGCACATTAATTTCCACCCTCACTCGAAGGGTCTTGCTATATTGTTCACATTGGTTTGAATTCCTGGCTTCACGAGATCCACCCACCTTGGCCTCCCAAAGTGCTTGGATTACAAGTGTGAGCCACCACACACAGCCTGTGAATTTCATTTTCTATTTGAGGAAAAAGTCCAGATGTGCTGAATAACTAGGCCTCCTCTGCGACAGAGCAGGACCCGACCCCAGGTGCTATTAGCTGAGACAAGGCCCACTGACCTGCTCTGAGGGTCCAGGGTGGCTGCCAGCTTACCCGTGCTTGTCCCAGGTAGTCTTCATCCAGCAGGTGGAGAGGGGCTTGTGGTATAATTCCACGAAGCAGCCTGGATGTATGGAAGTATCTTTGAAAGCTTAATAGTCTTTTCACCTTTTTCTTGGTGCCAATTTCCCCCGAGTGTGTTGTATCTGTGGAAAGTCATCAAATCGAGAAGTTTAGATATTGAAAAGAGAGCCTGTTTTCTTCACTATGTAAAAATATAATGCATTAAAAAGGAGTGAATTTTTTTCAGTGTCCTCAATACTTTGGTTTATTTAACTCTGCATTTAAAATCCTTCTAGATCATAAATTATTTCTTAATGTCATATTTATTAAAATAGCAAGATATTTTAGAATGTAATTTTGGGAGATGTGAAATCTCCCAAAATAAATTAAGATTTTCGTTTTCTCATTAATGATTCTAGTATGTTTGGTAGGTGAAATTCACACACTTTTGCATGCATTTGAAATGAGCAGTTAAACTTTCTTTTGCGATAATGGAACTGAGACTCAAGAGTTTAAACCAGGTTCTTTTCTTTTTTTTTTTTTTTTTTGAGACAGAGCCTCAGGCTATTCCCCTGGGTAGAGTGCTATGGCATCACAGCTCACAGCAACCTCCAACTCCTGGGCTCAAGTGATTCTCCTGTCTCTGCCTCCCAAGTAGCTGGGACTGTAGGAGCCTACCACAACGCCCAGCTATTTTTTGGTTGCAGCTGTCATTGTTATTTGGCTGCCCGGGCAGGATTCGAACCCACCAGCTCAGGTGTATGTGGCTGGGCTTTAGCCGTTTGAGCCATAGGCTTAATCTAGGTTCTTATCTGACACATTCTTTAGTCTGATGAACTCCGCAACGCACTTTAGAAGACTTGTGAGCACACCAGTTTGTTTACACATGAGGAAAATGTTTCCTAACGTCCCAGGAATATCATTGGCAAAGGAATTAACATTCTTGTACAAAAGTGACCCATATGAAGCAGACAGTGTGTTTTCTAGCTAATGGAGTGTGCTGGCCGTGAATGTCTAATGTTGTCAGTAGAAATATTTTATTAATCATTTCACATGTATCTTTGAAAACCCGACAGTTGACATCATGGCAACTGTCCAGAAATATCCCAAGCACATTATTTGAATGTCTGTCAATGTATGTCTTATTTCTGCTGAAATTATATGAATCACTCTAGGGTCACATAAGTGACGTCTGCTGCCAGTTTTGAAGGAAGAGCCAATTTAATAGTCTAGTAGGAAAATACACAGCTTATATATAAAGTAATTTTTGTTTCTGCCATAGCTTCTCCCATCTCCTTCTTTCCCCTGCAGAACTCAAAAGGAACTTGAAATCATAAGCATTGGCAGAGGCAGAGACAACAGCGGGCATTCCCTGACAGCAGCCAGAGCCAAGGTCAGTTCATTACGTGGGCTGCATTGTGCGTGCAAAAGCACAGCTCAGGGCCAGCGAAATATACTCTTCTTTGGAAGTGTTGACTGATTAAAATTACTTTTATTTTAAAAATGAATCTAGATTTTACATGCAGAAAGAGATAAACAAGTGCAGGTGGAGATAAGTGGAGTGCGGCTGAAGCTGTGTTTAAGCACATTTCAGCGTTAACAATGGTGTCTGTGCCCTCCATGCTACCAGTAGGTTCAAACCCATTTCCATGAGTTTGTTAAATCAAAGTATACTAATAAGTGGTTCATTCATTTCTTAAAAAAAAGCAAATTGAGTGCCTGTTGCATAGGACAGGCACTGTTCTAGATATTTGATGAGATTCTATGGTTCTAGATCCTTCAGTGAGCAAAACCAAGATTCCTGCCTTCATGGAGCTTACCTCTAGCAGAGAGATAAAAGCCAGTAAACCATAACATTAAAAAAGTAAATTATAAAATGTTAGCAGGTGATAAGTGGCGGGATGGGGTGGGGAAGGAAAGCTGGGAATAAGGGAGCAGGAGTTCTCTGTTGGGGGAAGTCAGTGTTGGCCTAACGAGAGAGAATGGTCCTACCAAAAGTTGAAGGAGATGAGGGAGTTGGCCCAGCAGATATTTGGGGAAACCTTTTCGACACAGAGGAACTAGCTCAGATAACACCAAGAGTGGGGATGTGCCTGGGTTGCTGCTGTGTGGAAGGAGCAGCAGGAGTTCCATGGGGACGGAGAGGAGAGAAGAGGGGAGAATGAGAGATGAGGCCTTGGAAAGGGGCGAGAAAATCATCTAGGGTGGGGTAGGGCAATGTACCTCCTTGAGCAAAGTGTGGGGCCATGGCAGAGTTTTGAGCAGAAGAGCGATATGAACACATTTACATGTGAAAAGGATCATCCTGACTTCTGCACGCAGAGGTTGTAGGAGCAAGGTTTGAGGCAGTGAGCCCTATTAAGAGGTTGTCAAGAAATACCCTAAATACCCTAGGCAAGAGTATTGGCTGCTGAGATCATGGAGAGAGCAGTGAAAATGGCGAGATTCTAAATATATTTTGGGAATTCACAAATTTTTGGCCTGGATACCTGGGAGAACTGAGCTGCCATCACCTGAGGTGGGGAAGACTGCAGGTGGACCAGGTCTGGAGTGGTTCGATTTTGCATACGTTGAATTTAGATATTTATTGGAGATTCAGGCAAAGACGCTGACTAGAAATAAGTAGGTATAATAAATTCCAGAGCTTGAGAGAGACCTTGCATTAGAGATAAAAATTTGACAGTTGTCAGATACGATTGCTTATGGAAGAAGTATAGATACAGGTGAGAAAAGGATGGAAGTCTGAGTTTCGCAGTACTTTACTATGTAGTTCCTCAAAACTCCAATTTTAAAAGGGTGCAGAGAAGAGGAGGGAAAATTTAGACTGGGGGAGAGTATCCTGTGAGAATGGAGGGAGACCAAGAGAGCATCACTTCCTACTAGTGAAGACAGTATTGCAAGGAGGAAGGTGTGATCATTTGAACCAAATGCTACCAATGGGTTGGGGGCAATAAAGACAGAATTGACCCTGAACAGCATTGAAGAGAATACATTTTGTTGTACGCCTAGAACCAATACCCTCTGGTAGTGAAGAGTGCATCTTGCCCCAGATTTTGTTTTTTAAAGATGATTTCTCTGTAAGAGAAACCAGATCATCTTGGAATGGCCAATTCTAGGGCTGAGATGGGAAATGTACAGGATGAATGATAACATTTTTTATGCCAGAAAATAAAGGAGAACTTGAAAAATGCTAGAATCATTTAAAAATGACAGAGGAAATAACTTTAAGGGGTCCCTCTGAGCAAATATGGGAAAATTTGAGACTCCGAGTGAGTCATGGAAGAATAGATCAGAAACCATTGGCTGAAGTAAGGACCAATGAGGCCATACTGATAGGGAGGAGGGAAATTTCTTCCTTGCAGAATGTGCCAGCCAAGAAATTTAGAAGAAAGAACAAAGTGGAAATATTACCACTTTGCAGACAACATACTAATAACTGATTCAGGTCAGGATCATTAACAGAAACTGAAATTATTAAGTGAAAGTTTAAAAAGGAGCAGGATAATTACATTATATCAAAGCATCTACCCATAGAGGACTTATTAATTGGAGAAGCAAAAATCAGTAGTTTTTTTTTTTTTTGTGAGACAGAGCCTCAAGCTATCCCCCTGGGTAGAGTGCCATGGCATCACAGCTCACAGCAACCTCCAACTCCTGGGCTCAAGCAAGTCCCCTGCCTCAGCCTCCCAAGTAGCTGGGACCACAGGCACCTGCCACAACGCCTGGCTATTTTTTGGTTGCAGCCATCATTGTTGTTTTGGCGGGCCGGGGCTGGATTTAAACCCGCCACCTTAGGTGCATGTGGCTGGCACCTTAGCCACTTGAGCCACAGGCCCTGAGCCAAAATGAGTAGTTTTTAAAATTTGTTTTTGAGACAGAGTCTTACTCTGTCACTCTGGGTAGAGTGCCGTGGTGTCATAATAACTCACAGCAACTTCACACTCTTGGGCTCAAGAGCTCCTCCTCATGCCTCAGCCCAAGTGGTTGGGACTATAGGCACCTGCCACAAATGCTCAGCTAATTTTTCTACTTTTATTAGAGACAGGGGTCTGGCTCTTGCTCAGGCTGGTTTCGAACTCCTGAGCTCAAGCAATCCACCCACCTCAGCCTCCCAGAGTGCTAGGATTATTTACAGGCTTGAAGAGCAGGTAGTTCTTTTGGGAAACACAGCGGGAGCACTATCTTCGCTAATCAGTTAACCTCACTAATAAAGAGAGAAACTGACATCATGCACTTCCTGACATAATACATTGAGAACACAACATCATGTATATAGGGTTGTTGCCTCAAATGCACACCTGACGCCAACAAAGAGGCCACATCAGAAAAACTTGAAGTTGGAGAGCACTACAAAACAATCAGCCTGTACTCTTAAAAAGTGTCAGTACCATGGGAGACAAAGACAGCCTCGGGCATTGTTTCACAGACTTGGATACAAGAGATTGTGAACTAAATGCAGAGCACGTCCCCGAATTGGATTCTGGATCAGAGAAAAATTTCCACAAGTGACATGGTTGGGACAGTTTGTGAAATTTGGACATGGACCTATGTATGAGATAAAAGTATTACATCTATAAATTTCTTACATTTGACACTTATACTGCAGTTACACAGGAGAATACCCTCATTTTTTGAAAATCCATGCTGAAATATGTAGAGACAAAGGGTACGATGTGTAAAACAAATACTTAAGTGGTTAAGAAAAAAATAGCGGTAAGGTAAATATTGCAAAATATAACAAATGGTACATGCGGGGAAAGAGCATACAAGTGATCTAGTCTTACAAATTTTCCATAAATGTGAAAGTGTTTTCTTAAAAACATTTAAGAAGAGAGAAACTAGGAAGGGAGACATTTGAAATATTAAGGATAGACTTCTTCAGGAGTTTGGCTTCATGGGAGAGTATAAAGAAATGTGGTGATAGTTTGATATAGAATTTCAATAAATAAAATCAATCATTCCTGTGTTATGTATAAGACAAATCTTTACAAAAATATCCACACAATGATTTATTTCTTTTTAACATAGTCTATGAAAATTTCCACTCTAAAATACTAAAAGAAAATGTCCTATGTAGCTGAGAGGATACCCGCATTTACATAACAGAATTAGAAGCAAGCGAGATCACCCTGCATGATGGAAA